GCACACTCTCTGTTTGTTTGTAATTCAAATTCTCATGCACTTCTGGCGATCGTCAAAATAGTAGGGGGAGGGGGAGGGACTAACCACCATCAGAGGGTCCTGCGTCCTACTCCGCCTCCTTTGGTGGTGGCAATACTAGTGCAGAGGTGGTGGGTTTCTTCCTTCCTTCCGAACTTCCCCCTTTTGCACGTGGATTTCGAATGAACGCGACATCAAGGTGATCGTGAGAAAGTTTTTTTCTCACATTATTCCACAGCGACTCCTGCTTTTAATTTTAGCCTCTGTCGGAATTATTATGCATTTATGAATTGATATGACTCGCGGTGGCTCGATTCTTACCCTAAGGGATGACTGTACTTATTGGAAGATTTACAGTTGCTGACGTCGAGGAAATAATGGGGAGGTGAAGTAAGGGAATTTCAGGGGAACTTCTTGAGTTCCAACTCCCCTATGCTTAGTTCTGTATTATGTCCTCTAATTTGACTGTCAATTGATGTTAAAGTTTGAAATTCGGATGAATATTTTTATAAACTTAAGGGTTTAAAAGTAATGGTTCTATTTTAATTTAAGCTTGTTTCCCTTAACTAACTGAAACAATTAAATAATTTATAAATAATTTAAAAATAAATAATATATAATTTATATACCCTTGCAGCTATTACAAAACGACTACATTTCGATTTCTATGCCTATATTACTAAAAACAGTGAAGTAATGTCGATTTTGAGCCATTGTTTCTATGGCAGCTATATTATATTGTTGTCCGATTTATACTAAACTAAAAGCGTAATTCTGATATAGTAAATAATTACTATATCTCAAAGGAATATTTTAATAAATAGAAAAATAGAAAAATAACTTTTTCTTTAATATTTATTTTTTTCAATTGTTTGATTTTTCTATGACACCGTTTGAAAGCTTCAAGCAGATAGCTTTAAAGCTGAGGGACTAGATTACGTATAAACGGACGGACGGACGGACAGACGGACATGGCTAGATCGACTCTCCTGGTGATGGAAATGTCTCTTCACTGCGTTGCAAACTTTTGACCGTACTTATAATACCCTCTGCAAGGGTATAAAAAAGAATAGTATTATACTATACTCCAACATTACACTGTCCAACAAAAGTCTAAATACGACTTGCAACAAATGTACTTTTAAAGAATCATAAACTTGTACTTGAATTCCTTCATTTTAGTCTTATTAAAATTATGACAATTTTTAATCATACAAATTTAACAATTTATATATTGGTCTGAGGTTTCCAAAATTTGGATGTTTTTTATGGCAGATGTTAAAAGTGCCGCCGTAACTGCAACCGCAAATCTTTACAATAAACAAATCCCACTTAATCTGCCGCAACCCTTCCTCGTCGTCGTAGATTTTGAGATCTCCAGCAGCTGTTTCGCATCAGGCACACTCCATACGAAATCCATTCTGAGACGCATCTCCATGGATGTTATGTAAGATGTTTGCCAGCAATTAGGGCCCGCTAGAAGCCAAAGAAAACCCCGCACGTCCCCTGGAAAGTCAGTTTTCCTTAGCGCCGACCATTGTCCGGGCCGTAATCCATTGTTGTCATAGCCCAAAGAAGTGTTGGGGGATGCAACCGGGAGGATGGAGAGTGGGATGGGGTCGGCAGATGTGGCAATCTTTGGCACGAGAGCGAAAGACAGTTTAGTGCAAATGTTGGCTTAGGAGCAGCTGATCTTCCAAGTGACCGTTACATCAGCTGGGCATCAATAATCTTGGCACATATAATAACTACCCATCATGTACAAATGTCCTATATAAAATTATGAGTCGTATTACAATTTTGGTTGTGATTTTATGTATTAGCCAAGAAGATTAGAAGCATAAAATTAAAAGTTATTAAAATAAAGCTCACAAATTATATAAGCAATAGAAAAATAATGTTATTTTATAGAGATTTAATAAATGTAAGTAAGGCATTTTGATTTGATCACAAGTAGAATTAATCGTTTCGTTAAATGTCGGCGACCGTGATAGGGAATTTTAGATGCGTAACCAAATATAAGCCGTAAAAAAGCAAAATGCAACCACCAAAAGTGTGACAATTCCCCTTTCCTGAGAACGTAAAACTTATAGATGCCTTCGTCTCTGTTTTTGGGTGGAAAATATTTTTCCCCTTTTGGAGTCTGTCAAAAAGAACTTTCCAGTTATTAGCCCGACTCCTGGCTAGCCATTTATCAAATTCATAAAAATAAAATATCTCACAGAGGGAAAAAACAATCAAAAAGTTGGGCGGCCGTCACGACATCTAATGCCCCGCAGACCGCACACTTCACTCAGGTTTTCCCCTCACGGCTAAGCGCCATAAAAATCAACAAGGAATTCATTTAAATCAACATATATCTTGCCCAAAGGAGGCGTCTATTCCTTCTCCCCATTCCACCCCCCACCGAAATCCACTTGGGTTTAGTTCCGTTTGGATCAGTTCACACATTTGCTACCGTTTCATATTTTTCATGCTCATTATTTTTGGTGCACGTATGTGAATGTGGGAGAGGTGCGGGGGCGTTGCAGCCAGCACACCCCAAGTAATAACTGCAGTTCCCACAGCTAAAAATACATAATCCCAAAGTCACTAATTTGAGGTTGAGAAAGGTCTCCGTCTCCGCATTCGTCCCCCAGGCCTCCCGGAATTGATTAAAAAAGAGGGAAGTAGATCGTCAATGGTCGACAGATCGAAGCTCTCCCAACCGACCGGCTGTACAATAAAAATTAAAGTGTTTTAATGTGTAAATCGTGCGTTGGGAACAACGACGCATCGAGGATCGTTGCCCGGGAAGCCCCAAAAAGGAGGACTGGAAGATACAGATACGAAACCCGGCTACCGATCAGCAGCGATCGTGCCACACTAAATGGCGTTTACCTTGATCCCTGGGCCGGGAAGAAAGAGAAAAGGAAGAGAAGCCACAGCACCGGTGTTTGGGGCTGATATTGAACTTTGATTTCTGCCTGGTTTCTTCGTTATAGAATTTCAATTCTCAGTTTCTGCAGAAGCAGCAGACACTGCACGTTTCTCCCAGACGATTGATCCACATATGTCGGATGGTTCTGAGGTTTCTTCTCTGCTCTGGCTTTCTTACATTCTGCCAGCTCATCGTGTTTATTTGGGTTTTCGTGGGAAAATGTTTGCCAAATTTGCGGCATTCTAAAGGAGCCCAAGTGATCGTTATTAAGCTGGGTGATGGGCTCATCAGTCCAGAATTTGACCGAACCCCATGGTTCAGTTTGTCAACCACGGCACTAGCATTTATTCAATTTACAAGAGGTGACGTGATCAGTGCCGCAGAGCTTGTGGATGATGGATGATCGCCACAGATTATTACTCAACACGGGATTTACGCTCAAGCTGCGAGGGATCACTTTGCACAACCAGAGTTGCCAGGCGGCGCAATAGTTTTATGATCCCTCCCGTAAACTCCCCAAATTGGGATGCATCATAGGTAGATACTATGTCAGCTGGCAGCTGGCGTATGACCCGCGACCATGGTTATTGACAACTCCTTTGGTCTTAATCCTGCCAACATCGTAAAGTAATAAATTTGCCTGAAAAAGGAAAATCTGCCCGGAGATCGCCTATAAAAACTGGCCGAGTCAGGTAAGCTCCGTAATGATTGACCCCGAACCCTGAATCCGAGACCCAAGATCCAGGTCTGATTTTGATCTATCGTAAGTCGCAATCCCGGTGCCAATCCCAAGCAACCCCCTTAAGACGCTCCTGATGAGGCAGGCCAGGCAAAAATATAGAATCCGAATCCGAGCATTTCGCCTTGCAAGGGGGGTTGCGGCAGCTGCGCCGAACAATTGTCAAGGAGTTCTCCTTAATGAATTGCAAATCATTGGAAGGGCATTGATCAAGTTTTCCCTTGCCGAGGGTGAAATCTGTGCGACTAAAATTGCCATCAGCCACCCAAAACAAAGCCGGACTTATAGAGCTCATACCAACATCTGTCCCTAAAAATGCTACTTATCAATGTATTATATATTTCAGTTGATAGATTTTGAAGAATCAATTTTTTTTGTATTATTAAAATTATATATTATTTTTCACTATCTGAAGTTAAAGTGATAATATTTTTTGGAGCTGTATGCCATTGGGGTAATTCTGTATTAAATAATACTTATTAAATATCTTAATAAGGTGAGCCACTTATTTATCATTCTAAATTAGGAATTGGAATGTATGCATTTTTCTTTTCTTAATTGGGTTGCAGTCAAGAGAATCGGACATTTTCATCATTTGCAATTTCAGAAATATCACATATATTTTGAAGCTGTATAAACCAATTTCAAAACAAAAAGAAAAAAGATTAACAGACCAACGATACTTTTGTTATTTAGTAGAGTCGTCAAAAAATTATTACAATTTGTATTAAAAGCAATAATTAAAGAAAAATTAAATCAAATAATATTGATTAAAGTTGTTTGATTTACATTTATAGATATGTATATTATTGTATGTGTATTCGGTCTTAACATTATTTTTTTTACCACTATTTTAAATGTTATTTGCCGTATTTTGTTAAAAGGTGTTTGAAATAATGAAATATAAGGTGTCTGAATTCGGGAGGTATACTCAACATACGGCTAATGACTTGGCTTAACTGAATGTTGTGTTGTTTCTAGATCAGAGTCGGGCTTAAGTTCGTTTACTTAAGTTAAGCTCCTATTTCCAGTAATCCCACTGGATGCCGCAATTCGTTGACTCGACAACTCTGCCTGCCTAGGAATAACTCACTCACCCGAACGCGCAGAGACTCATTGGGGTGGTTTTGCTCAGTCACTCACACTCACTCTCCATTTGAGTGGAATTCCGCTGCTGTGGTGGAAGTTCTTAGTCTGCAGACGGCGATCGTTGAGCTGCCTACCTGCCTCTGCCGCTGCCGAGGCCTCTGCCCGCGTCGCCAGGTAATCTAATCGAGCGCCTTCGTCTCACTCGGGGACTCGTTTTGCCTTCGCCTCGATTCGTTTTTATCCAGTGCTCTTGGACTCCGAGGATCAGTATCCTTTTGGCATCTCGTGAGCGCGGTCGTCTGCCGCTCTCCTTCGAATGAACTCTTGAAAAACCATATAGCACTACATCGATCTTAAAACGCGTACCGCTTGTTAAGTTTTTGTTGTTCGGACATTACTAAAAAGTACGTGCAATAACTGTTATAACTATTTTCGTACTTGAACCAAAGTTATTGTGTTGTGAAAAATAAAAAAACGAAACCGAAGCTGACATTTTTTGGATTACTTCTTATTTGGATATACAAATTAAAATCGTTACAAAATGGATTACAAAAACGATATTAATTCGGATGATGATTTCGACTGCTCCAATGGCTATAGCGACAGCTATAGCGCCAATGGACGCATGTCCAATCCCAATGGATTGTCGAAGGCGGAATTGAGAAAGGTGAGTTTTGTACAAAAAAAAACATTTATGACATTCAAAATAGGAAATAAGGAGAAAAATAGGAAACTTTTTTTTTAATTTTGAATAATTTTAAAAATATTATATAACGTTTTAAAGAATTTCCAAAAATTATTATCGTGTATTTGAGAAAAATATCAAATTACATAAAAGACCTGCGACACAATTTCATTATCTAGTGTAAACTTATATGTTGTATAAACATTCCACTACAGTATTAATAAATAGTTTTCAAATTTCGACAATTAACTAATTGCTTTTCTTTTATTTTCTTTTGTAGACCAACAAACCGATTATGGAGAAACGTCGCCGGGCTCGCATTAATCACTGCCTCAACGAACTAAAATCCCTAATCCTGGAGGCCATGAAAAAAGACGTAAGTATCCTTGCCGCGATTCAGACAAGAATAGGAGTGGTCCGCCCGCGACTTAGAAACTAGGCCCCGATCCATATCAGTTCACTTTCCTTATAAATTATGTCAGAGCATAAAGAACCCCTTGAGATACAAGTGTCCGAGGGCGGCAAATGTACAAAAGGACAAAAAACTCTATAAAAAACCAACTCCTACGACACACGAAGAAAAAAAAAACACAAAGCAAGGGCTCTAATTGAGTATTAAATTTTATTGATGATCATTACACGAGAGCGCCGACGAGGAGTCAGTCAAGAGACCAAAAAGTGTTAACAAGTCGAGGAATTACGCAGAAATCGACGGAGATGCGAACGAAACCAGTTTCCAAGGAGTGATCCTGCTGTGAGAAAACTACAAAGCAGAAATCAAGTAAAATTTGCCGCCGCAGAATTCTGCAGGAGAGCCGGACCAAAAATCAAATAAGAAAGACATTGAGGGAAAAAAGCAAAAGTAAACAAAAGGTTCAGACAGGAGAGCGGGGGAGGGGGCGGACGGTGAGGGGGCGGGGACTGGCGAGCGACCTGCGTGGGAACCTTTTGCTAAAATATGCAGTCCCAGAAGGCAAGAAAGAGACGGAGAAACGGGGAGCGACGAATGACGAAGTTCGCACTGAGAGAAAAACAAGATCTAAGGGATCACGAATAGTAATCATAATGGATTCAATCGCTTAGTTTGCTACTAAATTCGAATATAAAGTATAATCAAAATTCAAGCGATGGAAGTCAATCTCCCGTTTCTCTCAGTGCAAAGAATGAAGATCGGTCGTTCTTCTCGCTGTAGTTGCTGAATCTCACCTTGGTCGTGTGATATTTACAGAGTGGTCTCCGCTGAAGTGGACTGCAGATTACACGCGAATAGTTGGACATATGAGGCACGAAACGTGCTCCTTAACTTTGCTTTTTCCCAAGCCATTGAACTTGTTGTAGGGCCCCAAACAATTAGCCCGACCATCTCCTACTCCATCTTCATTTCATCATTATCTGACTTTGGTTCTTTCTTTGTCTCTACTTTTAGCCGGCTCGCCATACCAAACTTGAGAAGGCCGACATACTTGAGATGACGGTGAAGCATCTCCAGTCGGTGCAGCGCCAGCAGCTGAACATGGCCATCCAATCGGATCCCGGCGTGGTGCAGAAGTTCAAGACGGGATTTGTGGAGTGCGCCGAGGAGGTTAACCGATATGTTAGCCAAATGGATGGTGTCGACACGGGGGTCCGTCAGCGGCTCAGCGCCCACCTGAACAATTGTGCCAATAGTCTGGAGCAGATCGGTTCGATGAGCAACTTCAGCAATGGCTATCGCGGAGGATTGTTTCCCTCGACGGCTGCCCCGGCTGCTCCCACTCCCCTGTTCCCCTCGCTGCCGCAGGACTTAAACAACAACAGCCGCACGGAATCCTCAGCTCCGGCCATCCAGATGGGGGGCCTCCAGCTCATACCCTCGCGTCTGCCCTCGGGGGAGTTTGCCCTGATTATGCCCAACACCGCATCCACCGCACCGCCTCCAGGCCCCTTTGCCTGGCCAGGATCCGCAGCCGCAGTGGCAGCTGGAACGGCCAGCGCCGCCCTGGCCAGTATTGCCAATCCCACGCACCTGAGTGACTACACACAGAGCTTTAGGATGAGCGCCTTCAGCAAACCGACCAGCCATGCTGCTTCAGCCAATCTCCAGGGAAATCTCATCCAGCCACTGCCCGTGCAGACGCAGCTGCCCGCCAAGAACAGCTCGAGCAGTCCGCCACTGAGTCCCATCTCCTCCATCTCCAGCCACGGAGAGGAGTCGCGGGCTGCCTCGCCCACCGTCGATGTGATGAGCAAGCACAGCTTCGCCGGGGTTTTCTCCACTCCGCCGCCAACCAGTGCCGAAACCTCTTTCAACACCAGCGGATCGCTCAACTTGAGTGCCGGCAGCCACGACAGCAGCGGATGCTCCCGATCGCTGGCCCACTTGCAGCAGCAGCAAGTGAGTTCCACCAGCGGAGTCGCGAAGCGGGACAGGGAGGCGGAGGCCGACTCCAGCGACTGCTCCTTGGACGAACCCTCCTCCAAGAAGTTCCTGGCCGGCGCCATCGAAAAGTCCAGCTCCGCTTGGAGGCCCTGGTAGATCGTCTTCAGACCCCACCTCTATGTTACGTTTATCCATTGTTAATTTATTTCATTGCAATTTTTTTCAAAGATCACCAACTCAAATGCTTTAGAACCCCCATTAAGTTTCAACGATTTCTAAATGTTTTTGTGCATCAATGTTTCGCTTTCTTCATTTTAAGTTCAGCTGTGATTTTGTATATTTTTTGTGTAATTCTCATTTAAGCATTTTTATACGCCTATTATGTAGTTCATTATTAATTATGTTCTTTAATGTTTCTATCATTTCCCAAATTTATAAGCGATTAAAAGAGTTTCTATTTAAGTTATGTGGATCTTCTTGTATAGTGTTTACCATTAAGTTCAAGTTTCTATTTTAGTTTTATTATAACTATTGTAATTGTAATATTTAGTGAATACAAGATTTTTGATGACTGGAAAAAGAGTGAAAATAATGATAATAAAAGACAAATGCTTCGAAACAAGCAATCAATCGAGATTTTGTGGAAAGGTTTTTTGGGAATTTAAGGGACACACCCATTGTGACGCATAACCAGAAGGCCATATTTGGTAATTTAAAAAAAATGTTTACAATTTTGAAGGGTATTTTTATAAATATTTTATTGTCCTGAAAAAAATTTGGTTTTTAATCAGTTTAATAAATCGATGGATACAATGGTATGCAGAACTTTATACAGAATATGTATAAAAAATTGATAGTATTCTAATAAATGCTTAAATGATCTAATATATCCGAGTAAAATGCGGTTAAAGATAAATACAATACACTTTTTAACTGACGAGCAGTTACTCCTTAAATGTCTATAACTCAAAAGCTATTTGGGATACCGATTTAAAATTGTTGTATGTTACTTTCAAAAGTATATCTTAACTTATGGAAATATGTAAATAAAATTGATTATTAAATAATGTCATCCCGAGAGTGTCCCGATTTAAAAATGTTGTAAGTGACTTTTAAAAGTATATCTCTACTTAATGAAATATGTCTAAGAAATTGAATATTTCAAAATGTCACCCCGAGTGTGTCCCTGAAGGTAATACGGTTAGGTGACACTCTTCTAATTGCTCGAAAACAAGTATATAGTTGATTGAGTACTTGAACCTGTAGAATAATCGGAAGTACCAATCAAGGTGACGGAAATAGCATTGCGTTCAATGTTTTTCAAAGTTCGATTGAACAGATAACCCATTTCCAAGCTTCAAACTGATGCTATATAAGCTCGGAGAACTCATTCAGTGTGCGAAAAATAAATATTATTGCAAACGAGAGCGCGCAGTGATCTTCAGGCGTGCATTAAAAGAATCTCAAAAAACATTAATAGAGGTTATTAATAAATCAAATAGCTACCATGCTAGGAAACACGTTCAAAATGTTACTAATTCTGATGATGATGCTGCCACTAATTAGTTTGGCCGCCGATCCTGAAGGTGCTCTGCACAAATATCGTGCTTCTCCCAAACTCACGGGTCCTGTGAAGCTCCTACACGATTCCGAGGATGACATACTGAACACTTTGGATGTGGCTCTGGAGAAGATATCCACGATATATATGCAGGCCTTATTCGCTGGCACCCACACTCCGGAATTAGAGGCTCCACTGCGGGCCCTCGAAATGGAGTTGTTCGATCTGTTGGACAAGCTCTATAACCAGAATCGTCTCAAGGACTATATGAAGTACGAGGCGGAAGTGACGCGACAAATGATTATCTACAACATGCTCAAGAGATTGTTTGGCTACACTCAGGATAGTGTGGAAGTTGAGGCTGGAGACCTCTGAGCTGTACATTATAAATTTGTTGAGTAAACTTAAGGCATAAATAAACTAATGATAATTTAAAATGTAAATTCGTATTTGCGTTTTTTTCAAAGGCTTTTTATAGAAATAGGTATTTTGCGGTTCGCAAGTCAGATCTGCTGTGTTATGCTGTAACAAATTATTTTGTTTAAACACCTCAGTTTGGAAGACATTAATGCTTACAAATATTACAAAAATTCTTGTGATAATTTGAAAAATCTTGTTAATATAATGTTTAAATTAAAAATGTTTTAAAATGGTTATTTAGAATCATTTTTATTTTCTTTATCAATAATAATAAATTTATGTAACATTATTGTCTTAATATAAAAATAAACGTTTTGAAAAAATATATATATATTTATTTTTCCAAAAATTTATTTTAGTGTAATATCCATATGAAAGTGATTGAATAAGGTTGCCAGCTACAAATTGATTTACATCCTCATTTCCCATTTTCAATTTTCCACTTCCCCATCCTTTATTCTGCGACCCTTTTTTCGATTTTTTATTCAAAATTTGATTTCACTTCCGTAATAACTTCCGCAACAGCCTGTTCTCGTCCTGCGGCTGCCTTGCGTGTGGCTGTCGAGCGTCGCCCCCACCTTTTTAGGGACTCGGATCTTCCGATATTCCGATCCTCGGCACTTCCCACACTCAATCATATCGGCGCTGCTGTTACCCGATCCTGCTGTGAGAAAAACAAAAACACCTCCGCCGAAAGATCGAAAATTATCATAATTTCCATTTCCTCTTTACGCTATTATCCTTTGGCATTTCCAAATACCGTTGCACTTGTTCGTGTGTTTCCCACACATCCTTGAGATCCTTTATCGTTGCTTGTTTGCTTTGTGGTTGTTCGCAGGTCTCCCCGCCCCTCGTCCCCTTGCATTCCACTTGTCTTGCTGGGTCCTTCGGTTTCATTCCATTGTGCGCCGTGTTTGCTGTGATTTGATGCTGGGATTGGAATCCTGTGCGTTTTTCCGTGGGGTTTCGGCTATCACTTTTAGTTTTACTTTTAATTTCGTTCATGGGAATCGCTGTGGGAATGCGCACTTACCACGATTTCGTATATATGTTTGTAAATTCACCAAATTTTTGGGCAAACTTGTTTAGCGCCTGCCTTATTCCTTTGTTTTTGGGATTCCGGCATATTTAATTGTCATTTAACAAATTAACTTACCAAAAATTTGAAAACTCTGGCAGCGATTTTCCCACAGACAAATACCCCTGGCCACAATAGAGATATTCCTGCAGAAAAAAGTCATGCGGTGTTTACCAGGAACTCTCCCACACACAGACTTTGAATATGCCCCTGTGATCCTTTTCTGCTGCAAGAAAAGGATGAAATGTATCCCGGCTACCTGTGCATCGGCAAATTCAAATCGCTTGCATTTCTCACAGAAGAACAAAAAAATAGGTCCTGAATGGGCCCAGCTATCTGAGTTTCTTGGGCTGATTTGGTTTTCTTGTGGGTAACAAGTGTATCTATCAGTATGCGTGAGATGGCCGTGATTGAACAGCTTTGCGCAATGGGAATGTGGAAAAGTGTTTCCTTTAATTTTCCCAGGATGCGAGAGCCGTGGAAATTCCTTGAGAAAAAAGGCATGATTACGGTAAGAGTATTTCTTTGTATCATTTATTAGATACTTTTTTGTAATTTCCTTAAAGAAACACAACTTAGTTTTATTTGTTGCGAATTTATGCATATTTATTATGTTTTTACAAGGTTTTTTTTTGCAGTGCCTTATTTGTTGCGCGTTAGTTAATCGATTCGCACTTAGCTTAATTAATTACATACATAATTATCTGTATAAATATAATTTTTTACATTGTATAATTGTTAAAATTTGGCTTTTATCTGAGCATTATTTTATACAGGAAATCTCTTTAGGTTGATTGATTTTGAAATCGTGCATCTAAATAATGCTACATTAATGTAGACGTAAGTATTCTAATTGTGTAAAGTATGTGATGCAATTATTACTAAGCAATTTGTTCGTTAATTTGTATGTTCTGGTTGTGCTGGCGCTGGTTCGTCCTGGCATTGTGAAGACTAAATTAATTTAAATGCATATTTGGTCAATCTCCAAAGACGAATTCGATTTCGCTTGCTTTCACTACTTGTTAGTGACTGCTCGAATGGTTTTTCCATTTAAATGTTAACTAGGCTGCTTGTGGGCAATAAATGTATAAAATATGTACAACGTTCTCTTCAGCTCGCAAGCCTCAACTAAATCTAATAACTTCTAAATTTACAGATCCACAAAACGTTTCGGATATACACACATTGACGTATATTAAAAAATTCATTTATCAAAAGGCGCATTGCTTGTAAAACGTGTAAACAAATGACGAGAAGACTTCCAGGTATTAGGTATAAGGACATCATTGGGGACATAACAAAGGGAGCAAGGCTGCCCGAGTTAGAGCTCTTTGGATAAGGGGCTAAGGTCAGCCCAAAAATTAAAATAATATCAAAAATAATAAAAGGAAACAAAATGTACACAAACGTTTACAAAAATTCGTTATATGGCTACGCTATCAGTCCATTGTTCGAGTTCAAATCGTTATTGAATGTTGGGATGTAAATGTCTCCGTGGCCGACTGCGCCTAGCACAGCTCCCGGTCGCAGCGGGTCAATCATCAGAGGATGTCCGGCGTGTGATTTTCGTCGTGCGTGTGCTGCAGCAGTCCCTTCCGCTCGTCTGGAGCCGTGCTGTGCGCTATTTCCGTGTTAACTGGCTCCGGAACAGCGTCCGCGTACATTGATTCGTACACGGGATTGGCAAAATTACCCTACAATGTAAACTCGTATTAGTTGTGCTAAAATTAAGTGTGTGTTTGGGGTAGGTAGGTTTCGTTATTTGAAACTTGTATATACTGACAAAAAAAAATTGTACAAACTTATATCGATTCAAATTGTACTAACCTTGTCATCCTCACTGGCAAATGTAGGCGCCTCATCTGCATCACCGCGATACATGGCGTTGGTAAGCATGATCTCCACATTGTCCGTTAGCCGAGCGTGTGAGAATGGCTGAGCTATGCGATGTTTCCTGTTGAAAGGGTTTCTGGATTAGATCACTCAGATGCAATAGTCAAAAGACAACTCACTTTAGAAAGTAAACAGCACCGGCAAACAGGACGAGAACTAGTAGAATCACAGCCAGGATGACGGCCAGAACAGAGAAGACGCCGCCTGACTCCGTGGACTCCTGATCTCCCTTCAGGGCATCGGCACTGTCCCTCAGACACGGCACTACCTTGTCTTTATCGCACAAGCACTCGTTGATAAAGCTGCCCGGCCGGCAGACGTTGCACTCGCCTTCGACACAATGAGGCGGCAGCTCACAGGCATTCCCATGCCACTCGCCAATGCAGCTGCAGTGGGGCTTACTATACTCATCCAGGTGGCAGACACCGCCATTCGCGCAATACCGCACGCAGGGATTGTCCTCCGAAACGGGCACCGTACAGAAATCTCCATTCCACTGATCCGTGCAGTTACACAGTGCCACGCCCTTGATCACTTGACAGGTCCCGGCATTCTGGCAGATCATCAGGGTGCAGGGATCCCTGCTGGGCACATTGGCGTTGTCGCACGAGCGCGGCGGGCTGGAGGTTTTGCACAGATCCGACTCGCAACTCTCGCCGATGTAACGCGACGGGCAGGTGCAGCTCAGGCGACCACCTCGATCCGAGCAGGTTCCTCCGTTCTGGCAGAAGTCCCGACACGAACTGGAGTCACAGTGCTCGCCGTAGAAGCCACTGGGGCACTTGCACTGCCGCTGACCCTTGGTGCCGATCACACAGGATCCGCCGTTCTTGCAAAAGTCGGCGCACTCGTCAATCTCGCAACGCTTTCCCGTAAAGCCATCTGGACACTCGCATTGCGGGGTGCCCGTCATCGTTTCCCGGCAGATACCGCCATTCTCGCAGGTTAGATTTTTACAATGCTCGCATTGCTCGCCAATAAACATTCTCGGGCAGCTGCACTTCATGCCGTCCGTTTCCGATAGCAGACACGATCCTCCGTTGTGGCAGCGGCTCTGGCACACGGGCATGGAGGTCTCGCATCTTGCTCCTGACCACCCCGCCGTGCAGGTGCACTTCAGAGGTGGGGGTTCCTGAGATCCCGGCATCTGCGGAGCCACCGTGCACAAGCCGTAGTTCTGACAGTATCCGGAGCAGCGGTAGTGTTCGCACAGCTCGCCCTCGAACTGCGGCTGACAGATGCACTTGGGCACGTGGTCCACGATCTTGCACACGCCCAGGTTGCATTGCAGCGGACAGTAGTTGGGGATGTCCGCGTGGGCCTTGCACACGCCGTCATCGGTCATCACCAAGCCCTCGGGGCACTTGCAGCTGTGGCCAGTGGGCGATTCCGAGGAGAGAATGCAGAGGGCGCGGGACGACTTGCAGGGATCCTTGGCGCAGGGATTGCTTACTGGAATAGATAAGGGGTTGGGTCAAACCGCGATTCAAACAGAACTAACCAGAAATGCAACAGAAACTCACTATTTCTGTTCTGCTTCATGGGATGCAAAATGCCAATGTCGGACGAGCGATATCCCTTCAGCAAGTAGGTGCCGTTGTCGTTGCCGAATTTGTTCATCTTGATGATACTCTGGTCGTAGAGTTTTATGTACAGGTAATCCTCAAATACATCAATCTTCTGAGGTTTCTCCCGGTTTCCAAAGCGCCGAACCACGTTGCGATCCTTGCCATTAAGGCGACAGGTTTCGATCGTACCTTTGCGATAGTCCGCCCAATATAAACGACCCGTTGGATAGTCCATCGACAAGCTTATTGGCCAGCCCACGTCGCGTTCCACCAAACTCTTTTTGTTGCTGCCGTCCAGAGAGGCCACCAAAATGCCGTTCTCAAGCGTAGACCAGATCATAATGCGCGACTCGGGCTCTAACACAATATCCGTGGGATTCATGCCGGTCGACACGAGAGAGATGTACTTTTTACCC